GGTATCAACTCAATACTGACTCATCTCCGTGACCCCATAGCACAGAGGAAGACTGCCCTGTAGTTCGAAACCACCAGCCGCTCGGCAGAAGACAGGGCTTTCTACTCCACTGAACAATGAATTTAGGAAACCCACAGAGGCAGCTCTACCCTGTCGCCAAGGGTCGCTATGAGTTGGCACCTACTCAGAGGCAGTGAGTTTGGTTTGTTTTGGGGTTTTTTTTTGGGTGGGGGGCGTTCCTAGAGTCACCTTTATGGAAGCAGGTTACCAGTCTTCTTTCCCTGCAAAGCCACGGGGAGCTGGGGGTACAACTGCCAACATTCCAGTGGGCAAGCTTCAACACTGTGCCACCCCAAACCAGTGCCACCAGGTCAGCCCCGACAGGTAGAGAGACCCTGTAGCTACCGTGATGGGGCCATGAGCGGTCACTGTGCCTTCTCCTGTTGGGTGAAGGGTCCAAGGACACGCAGCACAGCACACACACCTGCCCCGTCTGCACACAGCTCTGTCAGGTGCGGTGCAGTCTGTGCTCACACGCTGGGCTAACCACAAGGTCAGCAGTTCAAAACCACCAGCTGCTCTGTGGGAGAAAGAGGAAGCTTTCTACTCCTGTAAAGAGTTATCATTTCAGAAAGCCTAGAGGGCAGTTCTACTCTGTCTGATAGGGGCCACCATAAGTTAGAATTGGCAGTGAGTGAGTGAGTGAGTGAGTGAGTGAGTGAGTGAGTGAGTGAGTGAGTGAGTGAGTGAGTGAGTGAGTGAGTGTGTGTCGGTAATTCGAACTCTTCCAGCAGCCCTGCAAAGAAAGGACTGGCAATGCCCTCCCAGGAGACGAGAGACAGCTCCACCCTGTCACATGGGGGAGGGCAGGAATGGGATTCCACTTGACAGCAACAGGCTGGGTTTGTTTGTTTGTTTGTTTGTTTGTGGAAGTGGAGAGGGGTGTGGGGGTGGGCTGTGAGTACCCAGGACTCAGAACACATCAAACAAGGAGGTGAGAGGGTCAGAGGTGGCAGCTACATCATGGTTATCTAGTGAGTCCCTGCCGTGGGGCTCCCACAGGAAGATAAGTGGGGTGCCTTCTCAGGTCCCCAAATGCCTATCCTTGAACATTTATCATGAAGCACTGCAACAGCCCTCACGCCCCTGTGAAGGTGCTCTCCCCAAAGGTGAGCCCTCAGCCCGGGGCCTCTGGGGAAAGGCACATAGGTGGGGCCAGGGGAAAGCCTGGAGAAGGTACAGTTCAGGCTATGGCTGGCCTCGGCCGTACCCAAAACCACACGAACCCCACAGCCATCATTGAGTGACTGCTGCACAGAGTCTGCAGCCGGAAATGTTCTCGGGAACAGCCTCTTCTTTCCCCCTGAGGAGCGGCTGGTGGGTTTGAACCACCAGCCTTTCAACACCAGCAGCCAACACTTAGGAACGTGGGGCCCCTGCAGACGGGTGACTGGCAGCACGTGGTGCTTATGGAATGACCAGTTCCACGTGACAAGCAGGCAGCTGACTCACTGCCCTCAGCCCCGCCACCCTGGCCAGGAGGGGTGAGACCATGGCAAGCTGTTCCCCCTGGAGGCGAGGGTGGCCCCTGGCTCTGCTCTGGACCAGCGGGCCTGGAGAAGGCTGAGTTCCCTAGCTACAGGAAGCAGCCTGCCTATGCCCCCCGGGAGTGTGCAGAAAACCTGCGGAGGCCGTCTGGCCTCAACTCTGGTGCTCTGAGGGACAGAGAAGCAAGCCTCAAAAGGTGAGACAGACGTGTGAACAAGGAAAAAAACACACACTTGGATGCCATGCCCGGCCAGGGCCCCTCAGCAGTCCCACAGGAGCAGAGCCTGCTGAACAGGCTTCCGTGGAACTTCTGGTCTAAGCCTAGGAAGAAGGGCCCGAAGATCCACTCTTGTGAACTCTGGGAAGTGGCCGTGATTAGGCGGCCACTGCAGGGCAGCAGCGACGATGAAGGGTTCAAACTGCACCGATGACCAAAGTGCACGTCCCAGGGCTGCCCAGGGGAGCCCAGTCACCCAGGGTTGCCCAGGGGAGCCCAGTCACCGTGTGCATTCAGGCTTCGCTCAAGTACACTCTCCTGAAGGCAGAAGACACTTTCAATCCAAGGCCCCCGGACACACCCTGACATGAACACCGGGGCACAACCAGCCTCTCGGTTTGCTCCAAGGTCCCCAAGACACCAGGCCATGGGGCACTGCCCATCAAAGTCAGTTCAGGTAAAAGTTAGAGACTTTGCTGCCGGGAACCCTGCGTCTTCAGAGCCGCTTTCTAACTCAGGGAAGGACGCACTTCTATTTAAATGGAGCTGCTTTGGAAGACCCACTCCCAAGGTCCCACTTCGTCCCCAACCCCAGCTGGGCCTCATCTCCATCTAAGGCGGACATGTTCCGTCCGGTGGGGGCAGAGCCCTGTCAGCACCATCAGCTATGATGTGCAAACACTGTTAGGATTAGAAATGGTTGAACTGGAAAATGCTAGGTCAGGAGGGTAAAGATCTCCCAAGAGCAGGAAGGCTGCAGGTTCGAATCTACCCAAAGGCTTGATGATATTCTTCAGAAAGCCCTGCGGTGTCCCGTGCTACCCTGACACACAAAAGGTTGCCCTGAGCAGAGTCGACCCCAACGCAACTGGTGTGGGTACCATGCTAGCCCTCATGGTGGCCAGGGGGGCACAGGGTAGGTGGAAGAGTCCTGAGTCACTGGGAGGTTATGGGCCCATGCTGGCTACCCTGCAGCTCTGGGTCTTCAGCAGCCCAAAGCAATGGCCGAGGCACAGGCTTCCTGTGACCAGCTCCCAGCCAACAATGCCACCCAACATGGATTCTGCTCTCATCCCCCCAAATGCCTCCCGGCCATGATTGAGCTATCGGCCCCTCAATGTCCAATACCCCCACTCAGTGATAAAAATCACAAACAGATCACAACACTGGTCGGGTGTGGGACTTGGGAGCAGTCAGATGCTCAGGAGTATTGACTCCACTATAAAGTGTGGGCAGTGAAATTGCCCTGCCCACCGCACACACCCCCCAACATGGGTTCGTCCCAGACACACAAGGAGGCAGAAATGACAGCACACGGTGGCTGAAGTTCTCTGCAGATGAACAACGGGTGGGTTGGCTCACGCTGACGGCCAGGCCCCAACAGTCGCCGGGCTGAGGACTTTCTGAAGTCCCTCCAGACTCAGACAGACTGCAGCCCCGACACCCGGTGCCCAGACCTCTTCCCACACAAAGCATTAAATCGCAGCATTCCAATCACAGTGACCCTGAGAGAACTGCCCCTGTGGGTTTCCGACTCTGCAACTTTACAGGAGTAGAAAGCCTCGTCTTTCTCCCTCGCAGTGGCTGGTGGTTTGAAACTGCCGGCCCTACAGTCAGCAGCCCAACAAGTAACCATGACGCCACCTGGGTCCCATCAGTCAGACTAGTACACCCAAAACGGGCAAGGCTTCCCAGCCAGAAGGGGCTGGGAATCTGACAGAGGAAAGGCAGGCACCAACCTCTCAAAAAGCTGTCAGCGAGAATGGACGGACGGACACACACACACACACAGCACCACCAAAGCAAACAGCAACGGCATCCTCTTGCTAGCAAGTCTAGCAGCTCTGCTGGACACACTGGTCAGCTCTATGACCCAGACTCACGCATGGACAGTGAACCCCCACAAAACATAGGCCACCCAAGGTCTTCCCGCAGTCGCCAGGTGTCTCAGCCAGGTGCGGTCAGTTCATGGCGCCAGCTTTCAACAAGCTTTTGCTACGAGCAGGAAAGGGACAGGAGGATAAGCCCTGGTGTCCCAGCTGGAGCCCAGCTTGGAATGACAGAGGCCACAGCAGAGATGAGGCCCGGTCGGGCTGGGGGGTAGGGGGGACAGGTGCTCCCCTCTCCAGCCTTGCCAGAGGTCCACAGCCAAAGGAAAGCATCTCACCTAGCCTTGACAAGGAGGCCAACTTCCTCTGGGCGAGGGGCACTGGGAACAAGTCCCCTATAGGTAGCAGCACCCAGTTGGCCACACAGGCCCAGACACCGTTCAAGTTTACAGAGGCACCAAACGGTCCAGCCACACTACAGCCCCTGCCCCACCACTGGAACGCGAGGGGCTGGGGCTTCAGACCACGTGGTGCCTGCTCGCAGGCTGGTGGAGGGACCCTGAGCCAGGCCTGGGCACTTGTCCAGTGTCCCTCAGCAGAGCCACTAGCAGCTTCCAGGTGAGTCCTGGCTGAACCAAAGGGGCCCCACAGGGAGACCACCGCAGAGCCAATTGCAGAGAAGTGAGAACCACAGGAGAGCAGCCAGAAGTCAGAGGCAGGCCCACTCTGACGAGTGCCATGGCCCTGCTGGACATCACAGAAAATGCTTTGGCGCAGGCCCAAGGACCTGGCTGACAGCTGAGCGGCCTCCACTTCCGCTGCCACTGCCAGGCACTCGGAGGGCGACCCCCAGGGGAGACAGCCCAGGACTTTAGGCTACAAACCCTGTGGGCCAGCTGTGCACCGGGCAGGTGGGCCAAGTTGAACACCTCCACTGGGGCCTGCTCCCTGTAACCGGCTAGCAGGAGCTTCACCCCGACATCAACACTTAGCAACGCAGGTCTCCAACGGGTGCTCGCTCCGCCAGGGCTGAGAACCAACCTGTCACGGGCCCGGAGGCGCCACCTCCCCCCAGCCCCCACCCCAGTCCCCAGCTGTCCCCAGACGGCGCTGGGTCCCGGCCACTCACGCCCCGAGCCTGCCCTCCCGGGCGGCCCTGAGCCGCTGGCCCAGCGGAGGCTCTATTGTCCAGGATCGAATTAGCGCAGCCGATCCATCTTCCCGGGCAGTGCTCCGGCGCGCCAGGAGCGGGCTACTGCTGGCCCGGCCCGGCCTCGCTCTGCTCCGCCTCGGCCGGGAAGCAGCCCCGGGCGCAGGGTGCGCCCGCAGGGAGGCCGAGCTGGCGCAAGTGCTCGGCATCTACCCCCCGGCCCCCGGCGCCCCCAGCCCGCGGTCCCGGCGCTCACCTTCGATGGCAATGACGTGTTCCCGGATCTGGGTCTGCAGCACCGGCTCCTCCACGCGCTCCAGCAGCTCGTAGATGGAGTAGATGTTGGGGTGGACGGACTCGAAGCGCTGGATCTCGGCCCGGATGGCAGCCGAGTTGGCCAGCTGCTGCTGGTAGTTCATGGTGCAGGCGCCGCGCCCGGAGCCGC